ACAAACAGCTGCTATTCCACTATGTAAAAAGCCCCGGGCTTATCTTCACAATGCATTTCCAAATGGTGTCTCTCCTATCTTAGATCAGATTCTTGCTCTGTACAAGTCCTTTCTCCTTCCTGCATCCAAATATACACTACTCTTCAAATGTTAGGGATCAGTAAGATTTTTAAAATGTTTTTGAAATCTGTTATGCTCTGCATTTATTTAATTAAAGTACAGTAAAAGAACAGTAATATTGTGAAATATTATTACAATTTATAATAACATTTTTCTATTTTAATATATTTTAAAATGTAATTTATTCCTGCGATGCAAAGCTGAATTTTCAGCATCATTAATCCAGTCTTCAGTGTCACATGGTTCTTCAGAATGAAATAGATTTTAATGTTATTTATTTGCATGTGCTTTCTGAATTATTTTAGCATACAATTAATCGAGTACGCAAATCAGCAAATAGAGCAAACATGCTTACAAAAGTTGTGCTTTTAACTCGTTTTGTGAATAAAACTAACCAATTAGTAGCTTAATTTCGCGCCTGGTTATGATCAAGACTCAGGTTTTGATGCTGAAATACTGTGCGAAATTGCCGCAACTCACCCTTCAGTGCTTGTAGCTGTTATTTTCCTGGGACGTCAAAGGTCATTGCTCCAGCTCAGACATCGCAAACATTAGCCACTTGTTCAAACACAAGAGCACTGCAGGCTGATAAGATTTCAGCGCTTCAGACATGCACTTCACTGAATACATGAGGACAGCTTTCAGTGGAAATCACCAAAGCAGCAGTCTTTTTTTTTTGTATGGGATTGTGTGTGCATATGTGCATGTATAAATGTATGTTCATGTTCATGTAAGTCAGTGGTGCTTGCTTTAAGACTGATGGTGGCACAGTAAACCTATAAAAATTTCCCACTGGCGTCCCACTTTTTTTTCACATGTTTTAGGACTCATCCTAAATTAGATATCATTCGTAATCTTAAACACTCCAAATTCATCCTGTGAAAACTGTTTTAAAATGGGTCATTTTTACCATGGAAATGGTACTTTAAAGCCTTTTAGCAGGCTCCTCCCCCTGGTGTCAAGTGTAATATTACAAAATTTACTACAATATTTTATAATCAAATCTTGACAAAACTCATATAATTGAAAAGGTCTGAGTCTCAATATTCCATATTTGTAATGGAAGTAATACTGTGACAAAAGATTAATATATAAATTTGCGACAGGTAAATGGCTTTTTTGGTATAGCGTCTAAACAGAATCTCACAGGAAGTTTGAATTTTTGTGATATCAACTTCAAATTTGGAACATAACATAGTTAGACATATGGCTTTGATTTTATAGCAATTTTCGATTCCAAGATATTTTGTAAAATAATTATTTTAAATGAAAAAAAGTTCAGTTAACAGGTTAAATATTTTAGCTAATAAAAGTATAAAATCAGGTTGTTTAAGTAAAGAACATGCCAATTTCTACATGTACATTTTTGTCAATCAGCTCTAATACATAGGGAGATCCAGGATTAGGCAGAAAGAGCCTGTTATTCCCTTGTTTCTCTCAGTTGTTGAGCTGCTGAAGACCCTGGTGCTCATCGTTGCTCACAGTAGCTGTACGCATTAAGTTATCTGGCAGCATGAGGACTCTTACGTCATGTACAAAACTTAAGAAACGCGCCAAATGTTCCTTATCGCTGCACAGGTGTCACCAAGGGAATGTAACACTTGCAAACGCCCACACTATTTCCTCATTTATCCTACAACCCATAAGCGCTTGATCGCCATGGGAACAGCTGATCACCCCCGACAGGTTCCCTCACCCACAGTCGGGCGTCTCATGGGATGCCAACAGATCCCATAATTTTGAAGCCCAGGACACAAGTGTGTGCTGGAGAGATGCTCAACCCGCAGCCGGGGTGAGTTTTAGGGTGATAGTAGGTGATTGTGACAGTGACTGCAGAGTCTTACCCTGACAGCAATGAATCATGGGTGCTTTAGACTGCAGGCAGTGTGAGTCAGGCCAAGAATAACAGAGTCCTCAGGAAAACCTGGGACAGTTTTTACCAAGAATCAACCTCATTTTTGTCTCTTTCTTTGCATGTTGAACTGAATTACTGAAGTATGTTTTAAATTTTCTGTATCAAAAAGCAAATTCCATATTAACATACATATAAGAAATTAATACTTTTATTCAGCAAGGATGCATTCAATTGACCAGAAGTGACATTAAAAACATATCTGTTATGAATAAATGCTGTTCTTTTGAAATGTTTATTCATTAAAGAATCCTGAAAAAAAAATGATAATGCGTTTCACAAAAATATTAAGCAGCAACCGTTTCAACATTGATAATAATAAAGAAATATTTCCTGTGCACCAAATGAATAACATTTTAAAACATATTAAAATAGAAAATATTTATTTTAAATTGTAATAATAATTAACAATATAAAAAATGCAGGAAAAAGTTCCAAAATTAGTTTGACTGTTTTGGTTATTTTGATTAAGAGCAAATTAACCTATAAAGAAAAAAAAAAGAAAAAAAATCATAATTCTTGTTCTTTAATAAGATGATTAAAATACATACATTTATCCAGTGCTTTTCATAATAAAAAACAAAAAACAAAGAAACACATCATGTCCCAAGCAATGTTGTATCATATTGAATGAAATTAACAGGGAAATATTAATTTGCTTATATCAAAATGTGAGTGACATGTAGACGCCAAGTCCACTGAACAACAATTAAGTTTCTGGAAATGTCACTGACCTTATTTTTTTAAATTCTTCTTTAACTGGTATTATTGCTATAAAACATTCAGAATCAGGTTTGTGTTTTGTTCTAATCTGTTTCTTTTTCTGTGACAGTCACCAGAGCAAATAAATCACGCACTACTTGGAATAAACTAACCTCTGACTCACACTTCCTCTCTTTCTTTCGATTTCTTTCTCTCTCTTAGGCACGTGGGTGACATTTGGGGGACAGATTTCAGATGAGGTGAGTATTGAAAATTTGTATATTCATAACCAGAAAATGAACTTAACTCATATCGTAGATATTTTCAACAACAATTAATCTAGAGGGTAAACAATCTATTTACTCATTATAAATAATTTTGTAATATAATATAATAAGGTGTTAAATCATCCGTTTTTTTATGTTTTTAACCATTATTCTCATTTCTAAATCCACTCTAGCCATTATCACAAATTGGGCAGATTTAGTCGAGATAAGCATGTTCAGTGTTGACAGTCTTGGCAGAGAGGAAGGCTCGTAGACACATCATGCAGTGGTCTTCCTCATTATTCAAACAATAACATCATTCTGCCAGTGCCCCTTTCTGACACTCACCCAGAGCAAATGCACATAAACACTAGCGCTTTTTACATCATAAAAGTCCCCGCAGCAGCAACTTCCACGACAAGCCTGTCTTTCCCCAGAGGCGGAGTCTCCTCTATTGTCCAATCATCCCTCTTGTCCAATCAAATTATGCGAGATGTGGACGTCCCCGTTCGGTCCCCTTCTCCACATGTCATAAGTCATCTCATCAGCAGCTGAACAGACGGTTTTTCCTCATCGGTCTGCCAATATACAACTACACTGACAGAACGGATCACTGTCACTCATGCTGACAGTTCTCCATCAAAGAGAGCTAGAGAGAGAGAGACTGATGGATTGTAGAGATTGCAGAGGTTTTAGCCACCAATTGTTCTGTCAACAGAAGATCAAACTCTGACATGAAGATCATTGTACCTTTGCAGCAGTTACACTAGAAAAACAGATGCTCCGTTCCCAAACCTAGTAAGGAGCCATTCACACAAAACACATTTTAGTGTTCCACTACGCTGCTTTTTTAAATATGCACTAGATGGATCATCTTTGATCAATGCGCTCGGAGCAGCACAAGGTCTCAAGACATGTTTTTAAAAGTTGTGTGCCACACAGAACACTGTGTCTTGTGCAAGAGTGCATGTTTACATAGAAAAACAATGGAAAAGTAGTGCAGTCGAATGCAAGCACGTGAGATGTAGGGCAACTGAATGGAATAAATGCGAGGTCCTGAGACACGTTGAACTTCTTTTAACTTCAGCAATATTTTTTAGACACTGTGTCCTTAGTAAGACACTGCAAAAGTACATCGATCAAAGATGTGTGTCAAACTTGTTAACATAGTAGACAAACAATGGAAATGTAGCACAGTGGAATGAAAAAAAAAAACAGTTAATACAGTAATTGAAATAGTTACACTACTTATTACATTTCAAATAGGGTAACTTATAATCTGTAACCTATTACATTTAAGTAACCTCCCCAACACTGTGTGCACGTGTGATTCAGCAACCGAAACGGACACGCAAAAAAAAATGTGTATGCCTCTCTTCCAGATGTGAAATTTGTAAATCGCAAATTACCTTGAAATTGTATGTAGATCTCAGATCTCAGATAGCTTCAGATCTCCACCTGGTTAACACTGCCTAACTAATGTCTTTAGCATATAAAAGAGTACCAGTCAACGTCCAAATCCTTTACTTGAGAATGGCAAGTGCCAGAATTGCTTATAAATTTCCACATACCTGCAATACTGACTCTATGCCACAAAGAAAAGTGTCTACATCTGTTTAGACCATGACATGAAGCTAAGCACTTTTCCACGTCAAAGATAGATTTTAGCGTAAACACACTCTAAACTCAAATCTGTGTGCATACACCTTTCATAAATTAGGTCTGACATGTTTTAAAAGTTGCATTTTTTGGAATTTTTAGAACGCAGTGTTTTCCGTAAGGTGCTGAGAGCGGTGCACATATTTACATAGAAAACCCATGGAAAAGTAGCACAGTGGAATGCAAAAATGAGACGCCGCGAACCATGCACTTATTTTAACTTGAGCATTGTATTTTTAGAATGCTGTCATGTGCGACATGTCACTAACATATAAGACACGAGCAGTATAGTCAAACATGTCCATCAGTGCACATTTACAAAAACAATAGAAAAGCAGCACAGTGTCAATTCAAAAAGCATTCTGTATGAACCGTCCTTAAGGCTGCGTTTTAAGGCTATTTCATATGGGTAATGAAGACTCATGTGTCTCAGTAATTTAACAGCTTGTGCTTTTAAATCTTGAAAACAGTTGTGATACTGCAGTGCAGTTTAATTTATCTCATCCTACGTCATGACTAGCTGTTACTATATATAAAATGATGAGCACAATTTTTAAAGGATGCATTTACAAAGCATCCACGCATAATAATAATCTTGTGTTAACTTATTATGTGCATGAATGCCATTATACTCAGTACATCTGCCTGAAAATCTGTCCATAAAGCCATGTATTAATTTTTTCTGCATCATGTGACAAACAATGTGAGGTGTAAAGAATGAAATCACCGTCAGATGCTATTAACTCCATGCAATGCTAGGAGACATGCTGTATTCCTATATACATAGTGACAAGCAGGCATTAAATACCAGGATGGAGCCAAATGGTTGGAGGGGAGGGGTTGAAAAATAACAGTCAGCGCTCTGTGAAATCAACCGAAAAGAAAATCGTTTCACGGGCAGAGAAAGCTATTGCATTTTGATGAAAGATTACAAAGATAAACTGTTTTTCTTTCGAATAACATGCATTTTCTGATCCTGTTATGTCCTTCTCTCTGCATCGCTTCCTATCCTAACTGCACTGTCCATATGAATAAATGTGACAAAAATATTCTGCAGAGGTTCAAAACAATATGTCTAAAAAGTACAAATTCAGCTCAACCCTGCATTCAGTTTGGACAAATTAAATGTTATGGACATGAAGGTTATAAAAGTGCTTCACATGGCAGTGAATCATGTGAAGTGGATTTAAGCAGCATTGTTTTCACAAAGGTGAGCACTCAATTATCCGTTTACACACACTTCTGAGCTCTCTGCAATGCTGACTGACAGCCGAGTGCTTGATATTGATGTGTGTGTGTGTGTGTGTGTTTTGTAGGTGGCAGAGCAGCTGATGACTATAGCCTATGAAAACGGGGTCAACCTCTTTGACACTGCAGAGGTCTATTCAGCTGGGAAGTGAGTTTGACCTTTGACTTAAAGCAAAACTGAGTGGCTAAATCCATCTAGACACTTGCATACTATCTTGCATACTAGAACCTATTGAATGGATAGTGTGCAAATTTGGAATTCAGCCAGTGTGTAAGAGCACAAATAATCCTGGATTACAGTCCATCCTGTAAACTTCAGATCCAAACTTGCCAACCTGATTCATCTAAACCTGTTAGAAGAAACAGAAGGGAATTCACTATAATTAAATCGCACCCACTGATAGCATCGTTTTTGCACACATTGTCTGCATTACTTTTGCACCAAATTCTCTAAAGGAATTATGCATTCAGGTTGAGGTGCAAACGGCCACAAATTTAGTGCTAAATGCAATTTGCATTGATCAGTTTCTAGGCTTGCAGGCCCGTTTCTGAGTGTTAGTTAGCACATGGGGCAACAGACTAGAGTGATCATATTTTTCTGGGACTGTACATCATCACTCCACCACTGTCATAAGGCACCTTTAAAATGCCAGAAGTCTGGATATGTGCCTGGTTGTGATGCTTTTCTCCATTCTTTGAGCATCGTTTGATGAATTACTGCTGTCATGATCACTATAGAAGTACACTAACATTCGTTTTAAATAAGCTTTAAATTTCCTCCAGTTTTCTGTGGACAGTAACCATAGCTCAACGTTAACTGTGTCAGGCAAATAGCGCTGACGTTTGTGAATCTGGCGATTTCTATAATGAAACTTATGCATACAAAGGAGGAGTGTTTACCCTGAAAAAATGACAGTAACTTTAAAGATAAAGTTTAAATATATGCATAGTGCAGTGCTATAGTGGCTCTATAGTGAATTCACCTCGCAGTGCCATGGAAAAATTCTCTACAAATCCAGAAATAAAATCTTAAAAAGCACATAAAATGTGTCTTTCTTCTTCACAGGGCTGAAATAATCCTAGGAAACATTATCAAGAAAAAGTGTTGGAGGTATTTATCTTAGTTCTTTCACATTATAATTTTAATAATCAATTTCATTGGCTGAGAAATTTAAAAGGCCACTGCTTTCACACAAAGTCCATAATCTGTCTGTGTGTGTACAGGAGATCAAGTCTGGTCATCACCACTAAACTGTACTGGGGAGGAAAGTGAGTGTCTGTCTGTCTGTCTTTCTTTCTTTCTTTTTGTCTGCCTGTCTATCTGTCTATTCATTCTATCAATAACTACTCTCATTAACTCCTTGAGATTTAGGCTTTTAGATTTAGTCTGCTTATGTAAAGCTTTCTTTCTTTCTTTCTTTCTTTCTTTCTATTTCTTTAGGGCAGAGACAGAGCGTGGGCTCTCTAGGAAGCACATTATTGAAGGTAGATATTTTTCTTCTTTCTTCTAATTCCCCTGTCGTTTGTAATTGACCTGAAACTTTTTTCTTCTTTTCTTTCTAGTTCTCTCCTCCTTTATTGATTTTTCTTTCTCTTTCACTGCAGTAGACTGTGTGTGGCCTTGTTCCTAATAAAAGCTCAGCACCCACACCAGCATTCATTCTTAAACAGTGTGAGATTCTCTCTCTAAGTCGAAGTCCTTTTTGATAAACGATTATTCAAACCAAATACAGTATGTATATAGATACAGAAACCATTTAGTCTGTAGGTTTGTTGTCTTGTTTTCCAGTAAAAATATCTAAACATCATTAAAACAAGAGACATTTACATTAAAAGCATAATAAAGCATAAATAAAAACATTATCTTGTTAAATTTATTTACTTACCCACTTCCTTACTAACGTATTCATTCATTCATTTTTGAGTTCATTTGTCTTAACCCGTTGTCAAATTTTGCATCTACATTTATTTTGTTTTAAATATGTTTAGATATTTCTATTGGAAACAAGACTAAAAAGCTGATGAATATTAAAAAATTAACAATAAAAAAAAAAAAAGATTATTTTAATTACATACAAATTTAGCTGCCAAGGGTTTTCATTTATTTTGTAATTTAATTTTGATTGAACTATTTTAGTACCCATTGTTACAATCTCTTTTTTTACAAAAGAGCTTATGATTATTGGCAATAGTACTAAATGTTCCTGACAACAAAGTATGCTAAAAGACATCCATCACTGAATTCAGATTGCTTTAACAGCCTAATGCATAATTAAAATGGCATATTTACGTATTCTGATAATTGACTGCATGAATTATGTGAAGTGTTTGAAATCATAAGCTTTATTTGTGTGCTTAATCAAGAGTGGAAGTCTACATGTAATGATATTCTGAATTATATCTGCTCTATTACTGTATGAGATGGAGGTGAGCCACTGATTTCAAGAGAGTTTAATATCTCTAATGTCATTTCTGTATCACTTTCAGATTGAGAAAATTCACTGTTTGTATTTCATGAAACTAATTGAATTATTCGCATACTGCGCTCATCCCTCCTTCCCTCCCCCCTGTTCTCCAAGTTATTTTTATCACTCCAGCTTGTGTGTAGTTTTCCTTCCTGGCTCGTGTCTCTCTCCCCTCCTTGCTATAGCTTGTGTTTGTTTGAAATTGTTTGTGGGCTAGAAAGAAACGTCTGTTTATCCTCTATGTACTTTTAAAAAAGCTCCCTGCTAAGAATATCTCCTCCACAAACCAAGAAAATTCTGACTGATTAGAGCCATGCGAGGGCGTGCTCCGTGAGCACGGGGCCGATCAATGAGTCTGAGATTGGCTGGATTACAGTGTTTTTGTGAAAGGACGAGCGTGGGGTTTATCTGTCAGATTAATTTCAGTATGGCAGAGTAATCACGCCAGCATCTGATCACCTGAATGCTATCTGACAACTTTGTTTCAACACACCTGGTGTTTGCTCTCTCTCTCTCTCTTTTTCTCTGTCTTTCTCTCTCAGCCAAGATTTATTGGCATGACTGTAAAGTTTTGCCAGTCCATTATTTTCACAGTACTTAAATACTGTTTTTTGAAATAAGTGAGCTACCGTACAGTATGTGCATTATTTGAAAGAAAATCTTAAACGGAATGAAGAATAAATGTGTTTGGGGTGTTTAGAGGTGGAGAGACCCCAAAAAGAAATTGGACACCTAAGCAGCACTCAGAAAAAGTTTGAATGCCATTGCATTAAACAACAAAATGTCAAACCAAATGGAATTTATTTAAAAGGAAAAACATCACAAGCACTTTTCATGCAAAACATTTCACAGAATAGATGTTTGTGAGGTTCCTAATGGAAAACAACTGATATAACATTTTAAAGGAATTAATACTTTTATTCAGCAAGGATGCATTAAATTGATCAAAAGTGACAGTAAAGACATATATAATGTTAAAAATGATTTCAAATAAATGCTGTCATCGAAGAACATATCATGATTTCCACAAATAATAATAATAACAAATGTTTCTTGAGCATCAAATCATATACTGTAGGATGATTTCTGAAGGATCATGTGACACTGAAGACTGGCTGATGAAAATTCATCTTTACATCACAGGAATAAATTACATTTTAACATCAATTAGGGATTACAATTTTTTTTTATTTTAATAACATTTTACTGTATTTTTTGATAAAATAAATGCAGCCTTGATCATAAGAGACTCACCTTAAAGTGCCCCTATTATGGATTTTTGAAAATGAGCTTTCATGAAGTGTGTAACACAGCTCTAAGTGAATGAAAACATCCTGCAAAGTTTTAAATCTGAAAATGCTCTCAAATGAAAGAGTCGACTCTGAATAATTGAAACGAGTCATTTTTAAAACAAATCCCAAGCTGTTTCATGTTGACGTCAACATGAAACATTAGCATATTGCCGCCCACTTGTTGCGCGCGCAGACCCGGGAAAACTTGAAAATGCAAATTCATTCTTTGCCACTAGGTGCTGCTTTTGGAACCATAAAAATAGCTGTTTCCCGGTAATGGCTGTACACAAAGCAGCACTGAGCTCACAAACGCTGCTTTATCAGGCATTACAGGCATAATGATATGGAAATAAAATCGACCAATCGGACAAATCACCGCAGATTAGAGTCACGCAAAGGAGGGGTTTGGAAAAATGAATCGTTGAGCGAATCGTTTGGGAGTCGTTGAGCAAGTAAGGTAAAAATAAGTGCATATTATAAGACAATGAAAGTGTTTTTTGACCTTGCATGCATGTCAGCCTGTTGTTGAGGACTTCCAAAACCAAAATATGAACTTTTCATAACCCATAATAGGGGCACTTTAACATTCACAGAAAATCTTACCACCCCCAAAGTTTGAACTGTAATGTGCATTATTGTCCGTGAACTTTTGTGTTCACTGTTTTATACCAATAAATATGAACAATTTTTATGGCCTGGTAACTAATATAATGCCCGATGTTATATTTTTTTTGTGTTCATAGTAGAAGTAGCACCAGTTTTGAATTTCTCCAAGTTTGAAACAAGCGTTTGATTTTATTTACTTCCAGTATCACCCTAATCAGAATATTCTTGATCATTTAAAAAAAAGCTAATATTGGATGATATTGATACGGTCATTGATATACCCAATAAACACAAATAAACATATTGCTTACAGTGCATAATGTATGTTACGATCTGTGCCTCAGTTGTGTTCTCTGTCTCTCTCTCTCTGTTTCTGAATGGGACAATGATGTGACAGTCAGACTGAATCATTCTGCTTCCTCATCTTGTTCTTCTTCATCTCCTCTGGTGTCTGCAAAGCTGTACTTTCCTAATCCTCTCTCAACTGCTCACCTGATCCTATTTTTGCTCTCTCTGAGTTTCCTCTCTCCTCTCATCCTTCCATCTCTTTTCACACTTCTGGCTGTCAGATAGCAGCTCAGAATGAATGTAGGTCCTTAGGCAACCACAGGAGTTTGTGTCATCATTTTTAATCTTTCCTGTTTCATAGAATCCTGTTTCATTTACTTGCCCTTATGTTGCTTCGAACCTTTTTTTCTTCTTCACAGAACACAAAATATTGCATTAAGCAGAATGTTTAAACTGCTCTTTGAATGAAAATGAATAGAAACTGAGACTGTTTGAGCTCCAAAAATGAAAAAAAAGCAGCATGAAAGTATCAAAAATGTGGTCCATACAACTCATGCACTCATCCACTCTGAATACAAAAAACATGAAAACTTTCTACTTTCTTATGCTTTCTCTCTCTGTAGGTCTGAGAGGTTCTTTGCAGAGGTTACAGTTGGAGTATGTGGACGTGGTTTTTGCCAATCGCCCCGACAGCAACACACCAATGGAGGGTAGGTGAGGCTTGGGCCCAAAGCAAAAGTCACTACACTGATGCTTCTAGCTTTGCAAGCTCGGATATGTGCATCATTGCATTCTGAAATGTGTTCGAGGAAATTCGTAAATCAATGCAAGTACTGTATGCATTGCGTTTATAGAACTGTTGCAAGAGCAGCTATAGCATTAGTATAAACTGTCAGCAAGTTTTCTCTTTACTGTAATAGCAGTGCAACAGTTTGAAGAGAATTCTTTTTTTTTTAATCTAGCCAAATCTGAATAAAAACATCCAGTATAGTGGCAGGGTTTTGAAGGAAACTCTAGTGCCCCCTAAAGGTCTAAAGTTTGTTAGCACCCAAGCAATGCTTGAACACAGTTTAAGTACACTACAGTTCAAAAGTTTGGGTTCGGTTCGATTTTATTTGAAATGCTTTTTGAAAGTAGTGGTTATGCTCACCATTTATTTGATAAAAACACAGTAAAAACAGTAATATTGTAAATATATATATATATTTGAATATATTTTAAAGTGTAATTTACTCTTGTCATGCTCAAGCTGAATATTCTGTAGTCATTACTTTAGTCTTCAATGTCACATACAGAAATCATTTCTAATATGTTGATTTGCTGCTCAAGAGACATTTCTTATTATTATCAATGTTGAAAACAGTTGTGCTCCTTAATGTTTGTGTGGAATTCATACTACAGGATATTTTCAGGAATCTTTGAAGAATTCAAAATCGTTGAATCTTTGAAGAAAAAGAAAAGCATTTATTTGAAATAGTTTTTTTTGTGACATTATAAATGTCTTTACTGTCACTTTTGATCTATTTAATGCAGGGATTCTCAACTCTGGCCCTCAAGGTCCAGGTTCCTGCAGAATAGCTCCAACCTTGATTAAACTCACCTGCCTGTAACTTTCTAGTGATCCTGAAGACCTTGATTAGCTTGTTCAGGTGTGTTGGAGCAAAACTCAGCAGGAAAGTGGACTTCGAGGGCCAGAGTTAATGCGTAATGGAACGGTAGTGTATGTTTAGTGCATGACCCTGTGCTTAAGGCCTTGGCAAAAGTCTCTTTTTGCATACTTGGTCTAAATTATGTCTCTGGCCCTAGTCTGTCTGTGTGTGTGTGTGTTACTGTGTGTATGTGTAAAACAGGATGTAGGGTGCTATTTCCATACATCTCAGGAGGCTGTTTTTCAAAATCCCAGTCTAACCTCTCTCTCAATCCCTTTCGATTTCTGTAGCACTGCAGCGTTCAGGAAGTCTACTTCTTATACACTCTGTCCGTCACCATATCTGTCTTTCTCTCTATTTGACTCTCTCTCTCTCTCTCTCTCTCTGAGGGGGATTAGAGACTTGCCCATGGGGTGCATAGTGTATTTTTAAGCTGCTCTTTGCCTGCTGTGTCTTCAAACTCCAGACCTTTCTCTCTCACACTTATACACACACACACACAATCTAATACTACATGCATACATGTATCTAAATGAGGAGATACCACTTATATTGTTTTTATGTGGAGCATAGTATTTTATTTCATCCCCAAATGTCCCAAAGAGAGGTTTCATTAGATTTAGCTCTCTTTTGGGGACAAATTTGTTAGTAAACCCAAACGCACCTGATTTCTTCCATTGGACTAAGTTAGGATTTTTCCTGCCTGTATGAGCGAGTCTTATCAACACGTAAACACATTTAACATCAGGGTTACAAGCCAGAAAAGTAATGCATAGACTTCCTACAGTGTGAGGATAATCTCAAGAGGACTCTCCATACAAATCGGAGCTTTAAAGCCGCGGTGGGGGAATGCAGAAGATCTAACAAAGTAAAACGTTTAATCATCGTTCTTCCATCGAGGCTGGAATGATTTTAATCCAAATTGATGTGCAATGTGTTCTTGGCACGTACAGTTAAATCCTCGTGGGAAGATAATGATAGTAGGGTATTTTAATAAAATAACATTTTGGAACTGAACTGAGAACAAATTTCACTACCCATGGCCTCCCTGGAGACTTGTTAATGTGTTTGCCATGTTGTCGCTGAGCTTTGTGAGATAGACATTAGACCATCAATGCGATGCTGGTCCCAATATCTACTGTATATGGTCTTTAAGGAAAAAAATACCTCAGTTTTATTCAAAGACCCAAACTGAGAAAAAAAATGCAATTAGTGTAGTTGCTGATATTTATTTGACCTAAAATTAAGATGAAATCTTTATAACAGTAGAAATAGTTTAAGAAGTAGTTTATATAATATGTGGCTAGAATTTTGCACAGACATAGTTATAAAGATTATATTGTTTTGGTGCAGTGCAGTACCCTATAGCCTTTCATTTTCAGTGCATTAGTGTAAATGTGATTTTGTTCACTTTTTACAAACTGAGGGAAATACTGTAATTATATTCTATGGTAATTGAAAGTATGCCATGGATGCTGTCGATAGAGCATAACTTGTATTGAAGAACTTACAAACAGATCCCTTTTAGGTCACGTTCATAATTTAATGAATACAGCTTTGCTCTATAATGCCCTCATGGCCTGAAATATTTGTTGGCGTTTTAATAAACACCAAACACATATCTGTGTTTATTAGTGTTTATCTGATATTGTAGAGTAGACTAAGCACCTACTGGCTGTTTCCCCAAACCTCAAATGACCTATTTGTGTTCGAATCGTCCACATCAGTCTATAGTAGAGATATTAAAGCCACAAATCAAAATCATACAGCACACTGTCTCTCTGTTCCCACACACACAAATCAAATCAAGCTATCATATGACAAACCTACATGCAGCACAGAATGACTAATACCTTACTAAGAAGTATTGTGGTGGTACCAGGATGCTTTCTAAAGTTGACTGAGTTTGCTAAGCATCATGGGTAATGCTTAGGCATAATTCTGCTGCTGTTTAGAGCACGCACTTGTCTGTATCTTGTCTACAGTGTAATCTTGTTCTTTTGAACTTTTTATTCATCAAAGAAAAAAATTTACATTATTATTAACATCAGTATGTTTCTTGAGCAGCCAATCAGCATATTAGAATGATTTCTGAAGGATCATATGACACTGAAGACTGGAGTAATGATGCTGAAAATTCAGCTTTGCATCAGAGGAATAAATTACATTTGAAAATATATTAAAATATAAGATAGTTAATATAATATTTCACAATATTGCTGTTTTTGCTATATTTTTTAATCAAAGCCTTGGTGAGCATAAGAGACTTCTTTTAAAAAAATAATTGTAAAAAATTTTACCTAACTTTTGAATGGTAGTTTATATGTGCTTTAAACCTGAACAAATACAGTTTCTTAAAATAAACCAAGCAAAGTTGCGATTGAGCTTGAAGGACTGCAACTGCAGGACTGACCAAATACTGAATGTGAATGGACGTTTTTTTGTTTTTTTTTATCCTACATTTTTTGTTTGTTTTCTATAGCAATAATTCAACTTGATGTATCAAAGATACAAATATTTTTTGGGGCAGTTGCAATCAAAATCCACTCAAGAATCAGAGGGGACACGTGGGCATGACGCATCTGCACTCGCACGCTGCAGCCTACGCGCTGCAGAAACCCCACATCCACATTACATTAGATTAATACTTCAGGGTTCTGCTGTTCAGATGTTCCATCAGAGCTGAGCTGGAGTCCTCAGTCTCTCGTGAGAAGAAACTATACGATGGTTTGCTGAAGAACCATTCATTTTTGTTCACACTGACATGTGCCTCTGGCTTCCTGTGTTTTTGTCTCGCTCTCTCTTTTCTTGAGCAGATGTATTGTTGTGCTTAGCTGACGTTCACTTGGTTTTTTCTCCTCCATTCTCACCCACACACTCACATTTCTCTTCATTCGTACAGAGTTCGTAATGAGAGAGTGGGTGTGGGCTTTCATTTTCGTTATGTACTGAGGTAGTTTTGGCTGCTGTTTTCTACTCTTCTGTTCTTTTTTTAATCTCCTTTCACCTTCTCTTGCCTTTTTCTTTTGTAGAAGTTCTTTTGTTTCTCATGTTCATACATTGAGCCATAGCCTTGGTTTCACAGATGGTTTGGTCTGCATTGAACTATGACCTGCCCATTTAAACAGGAAAGACCTGACTGACATAACATGTAACTGACCACAGTTTTGTTTTAATGTGCCATTAAGGCGCTGGGATTTCTGAAATTTCACAAAAACAGACTGGTGTAAATTAAAGGAGTAGTTCACCTAATAATGAAAATTCTGTCATCATTTGCAAACCAAAACTTTAGCAAATCCAGTAGTTATTTTATCCTCAAAAGTGATTGTTATATCAACACTAGTATCTTGTAAACACAATTTTGTTTGTAGGCGGACTGAAAAAAAAAACACTACATGTCTTTACTCCCAGAAGGTGCCAGCCAATCAGATTAGAGCCTGCCCGACCGAGTAAGTGCTTTCCATTTTTTGTGCAATATGTATCAGACAGTCAGGGAAGGGACTTGGTCCTCAGGCGTGCCATTTGATGAGACTAGAGCAGCCCTGCGACACCGCTGTCAGATGAAGAGCGTCCCACAGACATCACTCACTGGTGGCATGTGTAGTGAAGATGAAACGCAGAGTCAGTGGACACACAACAAAGCCCAGATCATAGCGAGTAATGGCCAGAGTAAAGCACCTGGAGTCAAAGCACTGATGAGACGGAGAAAAGCATCTCTTCACATGTGAAAATCTGAATGATGAAGCAATAAAGCAGCGTTATGAGCTCATGATGTAGGCGTTTTCGAGTGGATCTGGTACTCGCTGCTCTGGTACTGAACTGAACGCAGAACAGCAGTAAAGTTCTCTGCAGATAATGACGCAGAACAGTAATGCCTCGAGGATGTCAGAACAGATGGTGTTCCCATTGGCTGCAGAGAAGCACTCTGTCAAACATATATACCAACATCGTATACAAGCGTATGAGGACACAAACACTGTTGTCAGTTCGCATTATGCATGGTCTCATTGATAATCATAGGTGTTTTGTCCACAATGTATGGTTCTAGCACCCATACATTACTGTTCAAAGGTTTGGGGTTGGTTAGATTTTTTAATTGTTTTGAAGAAAAAAAAAAGTCTCTTATACTCATTTAGGCTGCATTTACTTGATCAAAAAGATGATATTGTGAAATAATAAAAATAACTGTTTTCTGTTTTAATATATTTTAAAATGTACTTTATTCCTGTGATGGCAAGCTGAATTTTCAGCATCATTACTCCAGTTTTCAGTGTCACATGATCCTCATGAAATCATTCTAATATGCTGATTTGATATCATATTGAAAACAGTTGTGCTGCTTAATATTTTGGCATAACCATGACAATTTTCTCTTTGATAAATAGAAAGTTCAGTAGAACATTATTTGAAATAGAAATATTTTGTAACATTATAAATGTTACATGTTACATATACATTTTTGATTAATTTAATGCATCCTTACTGAATAAAGTGTACTGTATATATATTCATATGTTTGCATGGACACTGAAATGTACATTATTAAAGTAGTAAAATGTCAGCATTTTATGTATGAAAAACATGGGGTGTACAAATATTATGAATACATTTAGTTCAAACATGTTCCAAGCCATCATATTTTTCACATTTACCTAATTTGACATCATTCTGACATGATTAACTTTTTCATTCTGTTCGGTTTGATTACATAATTTTACCTAACTTCAAAATGTTGAAATGAAAGTAAATTCTGTCATCATTTAATTCATATGTAATTGTACAATTTATGCAAATGTATTTAATTAATTAATTTGTTTTTAGTTATTTATCATTTATAGTTAAATTGTAGTATAATTTATCATTTTTGTTATTTATATATTTAAAGTAATTCATGTTTAGTTTGAGTAATTTATTAATGCAAAACATTATACATTTTGTAACTTTTTTTAAGCTTCTAAAACGTAAATACATTTTCATTGTTGATGTAAATGTTTCAGCGTTTAACAAAATGTACAAATTGTAATATATTATGAACATCAAATACTAAGACCAGGTTGCATTAAAAATATAACACTCACAGCTGGGTTTATTGGCATGCAAACTGTCAACCCCACTAAAAATGTTTTTTTTTTTAAATTGATTCATTCTTGGTTTTAGAAGGAAGTTATAAAAAAGGGTGATGGTCGAAACACAGATGGATAGTTAAATTCCGCTTTGTTAAATTCAACTGGATGATAAAAACACAAATGTCCTTCCTCTGTGAGTTAACATTCAATTTAACCATCCCCTCTTAAACTCTGTCGTGTGGGCCATTATCCTTATTATAACTCATTGAGCAAAATGGATCTACTCACCAGTTGGATTATGAGATGAGAGCATTTTCTTAAGGGTAAAGTTGAGTTAACAAGGCCTTGATACCCATTTGTGATTCTCGGGTGAGGATTCCTGCCATTGCCTATTTGCACGTTAGCACTCAGTTAAGGAATTATGCAAATCAGATAATGGTGCAAACACAGCCCCGAAAATAGCACTGATAGCAATTTGCACTGGACTATTCTCCAGGTTACAGGATGGTTGTGAATTGTAAGTAGTATATGATGCTAAAATAATAATTAAATTATGAATTATTCATTAAACTTTTTAATGAATTAAGAACAAATCTTACAACAAATAATGTGTAAATAATGGTCAAATATTTTCATTCATTAGTATGTCTGGAATGCTTTGGGATGAATAAAATTGTGCTTCTACGCTTGAATATACAATACAGAGAAGTTTCAAATGATTGTACCTTGTACTTGCTTAGTGAGATATAGAGCTGTTGTGTCGGTTTGACTTACAGAAGTGCTTCTCATCTTTAATCCTGTTAAAGGCAGAGTAAGTGATTTCTGGTAGCCAATGTTGATATTTGAAATCACCAAAACAAACACGCCCCTACCCCAAAAGGGTCTTGCCCCTATTTTGATAGCTCCTCCCCACATATACGTACGCAACCCAGGCAACGATTAGTTCTGTGAAACAAAGCAAAACCAATGTTACACCATGTCTACGAGCGGCGCGGCGCAACAAATCCCCGACAGAAAACTGCTGCCGGGTTCTATTTATGACGTGCTGACACATTTCAAATGGTTTTCAACGGTCGTTTGATCGTGTCCAGTGTAGGCAGACTTTAGCTGTTGTAGACACGGTGTTACTCACCTATTGAGAAAAAACAAAGCAACCTCGGAGTCTGATCGCAGGCCTCCGCTCCTTGAGTTCTCTCCAGCGCTGGAAAGCTGATCCGATATTTACACGGGTCCTACTTCTTGCCTTATCGTTCCGCAGACGTTTTCCTCTTTTGTTTTTTATCCATCATCTCTATCTTTCGGCCCGAATCAGTTTTCTAAAGTGTTTTTGAAAAATCACATACCCTACCTTTAATTCAGACGGCTGTGAAATAGCTTCCGTTCTTTTGCATTATTAGCATTTATCCTTTGTGCAACTCTGTCAGTGTTGCCAGATCTCACAGGAAAAAAACATGCAACCTGTTCTGACGACACAATCTCAAAATAAACCTCCCCAAAACATGGCTAAATTGGCTAAATATGTTTGTCTTTTTCATTGCTTAATTTAATCTGGTTTATTCTAGCATTTGGGTAAAATATGATTTTTACAATTCAGGGCCCCTTTCTTGTAAATAAGATAGGTTATCTCTGTAACACTGCTGAATTACTTTAATAACGTGTTGACCTTTTTTCTTATATCCTTTACCATGTGCTGGACAGCTGTGTAAATTATACTATAAGTAATAAAAAAAAGCAGACATGGCAACACAGCGCAAGGAGAGGACGTAAACAGCGCCATCTAATGGTGACCAGACACAAATGATTTCTCTGTAATTTCTCAATGGATCTAAAAGCAAACTAATCCAGAAGCTTGGCTGATATTTTTGTCTGTACATGTGTGTTTTGTGTTTTAGAGATAGTGAGAGCCATGACGCATATCATTAACCATGGCATGTCCATGTACTGGGGCACATCACGCTGGTCAGCGATGGAGATCATGGTGAGTATAGAGAGGAAACACTTCTGTGCACTTTTCCTTAATGCTTCCTTTTGTTGTTTTGTTATTTTGTTTTTTCAAATGAAAGGGATATTTTGACATATTTACTGTATTTCCATCTGTATTTTCTTGTCTTGTTTTCCAGTATCTAAACACTAGACAAAATTGCATTAGATTTTAGGGCTTTTATATAGAGATTTTATCAATATTTTAGTATATTATTAAATTATTTAAAAATATTCTTATTTTCATTGTTGCTAGTGGGTTAAGAAAATTTTATTAAATTATCCTTAAAAATTAAAAGTTTTAAGGATGTTTAGATATATTTAATGGGCAACAACACAAAAATACTCAATGTGTGTTTTTTATCTTTATTCATGAACTATATTAATATCATTCTTTTTTCATTTTTGTCATATCTTTCTCCCCCTGTAGGAGGCGTATTCTGTAGCGAGGCAGTTTAATCTGATTCCTCCTGTGTGTGAACAGGCCGAATATCATTTATTCCAGAGGGATAAAGTGGAAATGCAGTTGCCAGAGCTTTACCATAAGATTGGTAAAAACAAACACATATTGTATATACACATGAACACACATAATTAAAATACGATCACTGAAACAGCTTAAAAACACAGTCGTGCACCGCAGGTGTTGGAGTGGTTTCCTGGTCTCCTCTAGCCTGTGGCATCATCACAGGGAAATATGACAACGTCATCCCAGAATCCTCCAGGGCCTCTTTGAAGGTACTTTAAAGGAGTAGTTCAGGCAAAAATGAAAATGTGGTGAAAATGTACTCACCCTCAGGCCATCCAAGATGTAGATGAGTTGATTTCGTCATTAGAATAGATTTGGGGAAATTTAGCATTATATCACTTGCTCACCAATGGATCCTCTGCTATGAATGGGTGCCAACATTAACATAACAATAATCAACAAGTAATCCAGAAAACTCCAGTCCACCACATAACATCTTGTGAAGCGAAAAGCTCAGTGTTTGTAAGAAACACATCCATCAAAGCATTTTAAATTTAAATAGTTGCTTCTGGCCAATCAGCTGTTTGGACTCTCATTCTGACGGCACCCATTCACTGCAGAGCATCCATTGATGAACAAGTGATGTAATGCTTATCTGTTCATTTTTGGGTGAACTGTTCCTTTAATAGTGTCTGTCATGACAGACACATAATTTCCTCAAGACATAAGGATGGATATCTGTCGATTAAACTGAAATTGATCCAACTGAAATGGTGCCAGATTTCTGTAAAAAAAAAAAACAGCTATACTCAACAGAAGAACAACGCTGAGTTAAATAGGACAGTCTGACACTGAATGAAGTGATTGAGGAGCTCATATAGTTCATAAATTACACCTTCAGGTATACTGTGATGAGGGTGGCAGGTCTGTCAGGGGCAGGGCAGGTTTGCTGTGTTTGTCTCACTCTCTCTCTTTCTCTCTCTGCAGTCATACCAGTGGCTGAAGGAGAAGATTCTGAGTGAGGATGGCAGAAAGCAGCAGGCCAAGCTTAAGGAATTGACCCACATAGCTGAGAGGCTCAGCTGTACCCTGCCACAACTTGCCATCGGTAGGTCAAAATAACTTTTTCACTTAAACTGTAACAAAGTGCCACATATTATCACTGCCATAGTGACTCAACTGTTCTGTCAGTAAAATACTGAATTTCTGCTTTTATGCACATTTGCTGACTGAGAAACAAACCTTGACATTAATCCACAGGGCTTTAAAGTCACCAAATCCGAGGGTTGAAAAAATGACATACAATTACTTACTTAATGAAAAACAAATTTGGCTTTTATAAATGTTTTTATAAATGTGGTGGGGTAATATTCTATTCAAAAATGATTCTTTATTAAAATGTATTATTTTTATTTTGTTTTATTTATTAATGTAGTTTTATTTTTGTTTATTAATAATAATAATAATACATGTTTTCTTTACAAAATTGTTCATATTATGTTTTTAATTAATTTGATTTATTGTGTATTTTTTAAATAGTCAATCATTATTAAAATTTTGTTTTATTTATTATTATTAATAATAATAATACTACATCTTATGAAAAACAGATTTGTTTGTAAACATTGTTTTTAATTAATTTTATGTGTATTTTTTTCAATGTAAACAGTTTGATGAACAACAAAAAAAAACTGTACTGTTAAAAAAAACTCCTGTATAAACAGTAGCATTTGGCTGCAGCACCTGTTCAGAATCCCACTAGCTCATTTGAGATTCCCGTGATTCACTGACTTGAAACTTTCATACATGTAGGACTAAATGACAGATTCCTCATGAATCTATTTTCTGTGTTCCTCTGTAGCCTGGTGCCTCCGTAATGAAGGAGTGAGTTCTGTTCTCCTGGGGACCTCCAACCCTGCACAGCTCACTGAGAACCTGGGGGCGATACAGGCAAGAGATTTATCAAAACATCTCAAACACACTCGCACACTGTGGAATCACTGCCATCCCACAAACTCTGGTGGCCTGCTACAGCTCTGTGCTTTTATCTCTTAACACCTATCTTCTGAATCTCACAGGGTTAATTTACATTTAAAACATCAAAAACAGGATATTGCTTGATGTTATTTTTATGTGCCAAGGCAAAATTTCACACACTGATAAGAGATCCAACTAAACCAGCTACAGATAAAGCTGGTTTTGCGTAGTTTCTAGCTTGACGAAATGGTTGGACTAGCACTTTCTCAACCAGGGGCCCACTAGGGGGCCTCAGAAAACTTCTAAGGAGGCTTCAAGATGACTTAAAAATATTTATATTTTTAGAACAAGCATTAAAATAAGCTAAAACAATTAAAAATCATGATAATTCTTATTTGAATTCATCCCATGTGTTTTAGTAATTAGATCTACATTCTCGCTGACAGGTTCTTCCAAAGATCACCGCTAACGTGGCCTCAGACATCGACAAAATCCTGGGTAACCGTCCCCACAGTAAGAAGGACTACCATCACTAGGCCTTTCTGTGAACCTGTAAGCCTTGAGACTCAGGATCCCGTGCCAGCCCTCTTGTGTCGGCGGGTGTCCACAGTGTGCGATTCCCACCATTGTGTGTCTGTGTCAACTTCTCTTGCTGAGAGCCATTGTTACTGTTACAGTAGAAATGCTAAAGTGTTATGCATGCTTCTGTTCGACCTATACCTGAGCTCAACCTCGCATTAAGATCTCTGTGGAGACAAGCACAAAAGCTCCTGGACTCCCTCGTCTGTGGGGTTCTGTATTCAGCCGTCATAACCCATATGTGCCAAAGTGAACATGGTCTTGACCCTTGACCTCCGGACATCCATTCTGAACAGGGACGAATGACCGGCCCTTATGAATGGCCCTGATTATGGTCTATAAAAAAATAAAGTAAGGAAACGCACTGCATATCATTCTGAGAATGTACAAACTAAGAACTGTGATGTATGGCAGAGCAGCATGTAGAGTTGAACTGTGTACATTGGTAAAAATGTGTTGAATTAAAAAGCCATCAACAGCAATGTGGGCTGTTATTGTGTTTAAATGTTCTCCAAAAAGTTTAACATCTTTAAATGACTGCTTGTGTATGTTTCCTTTGTAAACCCTGCAATTTGTGTCAAGTCCGTTCAACAATTTCTTACTTCTCTATTGTTTTAAATGTACATTATAAAAGAAACTTAGTTTGTTCAAAGGCTTATCCAGTGTTGAAGTTACACTGGTTAAAGATTTAAATGCTTGCTGCTGTATTTGGCAACTTTCGAACTGCTAAGCAGTACATACTTGAGTCCCGAGAGTGACAGAAATGCACAACTGCTAAAAGCAACTAGTTCATGTCCATGACAAATGGGGTCAGAATGTTTACAGACTTGAAAATGATGAAGCTGTTAATTAATGCATTGTGCAGTGCTTTTAACATTAAAATAAAAATGTGCATCTCCAGTTTGTGGTGATTTGTTACATATAAATGTTTTTAACCATTTGAAGTTATTTTGCTGGTTGAAGAACATGCTACAAAAAGTTGCCTGGAAACAAAATAACCTAAAAAGTGTGGGCTACAGTTAAAAAAAGAAAAACGAAACATAACTAATTAAAAAAAAAAAAAGTAGAAAAACTAGGCCATGACTGAACGGGGAAAAAACTAGGTCACATGAGACAGCTAAAATACTGAGTAACATAAACATTACCTTATTTCTCCATAGAGACTACACCCCTCCCTTAATGCTTAAGCCCCGCCCACTGTGATTTTCTATTGGATTAACTCCCAGTCAATTTTAAAATTCCGTTTTTTCATTGGCTCTTCCCCGCTCGTCAACTTATTTCGATTCCATACGCGCCAAACATAGTAGGCCGTGTGACATACTTAACGCAAATACTTCGAACCAAAACTGTTTATGGTCATTGATAACTGAAAAATCCTGTTTGTTTGTAAGCAAGAGTCTGTTTCGTTATTTATTATTCAATCTAGCCGTCTAAAAGGAAAGAAGGAACAATCCCTCTCTCTGTCTCCAAGGCAGCAGGCAGTAAACTGAAAGCACAGCAAGTGTGTTGTTGAAACGAGCAGTGTGCTGGGTGAGTCGCGCTTCTTATAATCATGATGTATTAGTTTGTTATGCGATATATATATGAGCAAGCTTTCTCGCTAGTCTGGAAAACAATAACGGCGTTGGTTAGAATCTTATTTGTGACTGTCCACTTTGATTTAAAGCGCATCGGCGATGTGGCTGATGCAGGGCCGGAGGAGCAGCCCCAGGGGCGACAGTGTTTGTGCTGCTGCTGATGATGACTGCAGTATCAGCAGTGTGATGAAGACTGACTCCTTCTGCATGAACCAGTCCTTCCCCTCCGCGCGCAACTGCACTCTCAACCGCATGGACGCATCATCAGGTGGGCCAGACCGCTTTCACACTGAAGTGATACCAAATATTACATGATAATATAAAATAATAACGATAAAGCTTATGAAAATTACAACAGTGCAGCATACAGCAGTAGTTGTTGACAAAAAAAATGGTACCACAAGGGAGATCTCTTAAGAAGTTGTTGCCAAATGTTTTGAAAAAAATATAGAAAATCTGGTTATTCAGCAGTGAGTTGGAGATGGTTTTCTGCAATAGTTTGCCCAAAACAGGTGATTGGGTTGCTTTTGTTAACCCTCATTTTGTTCAAAACATGTATGACTATTTTGAAGACAAAAATATGTAAGACCAAATGCAGCCTCAGTCACCATTCACTTTCACTGTTTGGGGAAAAAAACACTACTGTTCAAAAGTTTGGGGTTGAAATATATATATTTTTATTGTACTTTTGTATGCATTATTCATATTTTTAAATAGTATTATTGTGAAATATTATTGCAATTAAAAAGTTTTATGTTTGAATATATATTGAAAACAATTATTATTATACAATTGCTATATTATAAGATCTTTGTGTAAACTGGTACTTTTTTTCAGGGTTCTTCAAGTAAATGCTTTTTTTTTTTTTTTTACTTTTAAAAACTTTTTAACATTTATTTATGTCAATATATTTACACTCGAGAATTTTTTTTCCCCAATAACTTGAATTTGAACTTTGTGACTACACACCTCTGACCTCCACATTAAATGCCTGAATAGAAAGACAAAGCAGTTTGCCAGATTTAATGTGATGAATATAAAACTCAAAAGAGCAGCATTTATCTCAAATTGATTTTTTTTTTTTTTTGTAAATTAAATGTCTTCACTGTCATGTTTGATTAAATTAACGCATACTTTCTAAATAAAAAAATGTATAATTTCTTTAAAAAAACTTTTGAACTTGTTTTGGTAAAGAATGGCGAGGAGTACATTTACAGAATATTCATTTTTACTCTATTTGTTTTCCGAAAGGTGATTCTCATGTTGGTTCATCAGTGGCGATGAGGAATCTTCAGATCTCTGATCTGCATTGCTTCCACCTCGTGTCTCCGTCATCAGCTCATGGGTCTCCAGTGTTGGAGAGCTCTCTGCTCAGACAGCTCATGTGTACCGCTCCAGAAAAGAGAGGCACAGCTCTCACCATCAACCCTAATAAAGCTGCCCTGTCCATTAACTGCACCACATTACAGGTATCGGATGATTGTTCTTATCAAAACCCTTTTTCCAATTTAACAAAGGCCAAATTACACGCGTTATTTTGGTAGTAGGGATTCTTTGCCTGGACTTTTAGCTGCACACCTATTCTTTGAACTATTGAGTTATTTCAATTATTATTTATTATTATTTAATGATGTTATCTCCTTTTGCAAGGTTTTGGATGCAAATGAACATGCTTGTAAGCTGTTTGAGTGTGGATACAGTGATTTGATCTGCCAGAAGCTGACTTCTCTCCTAAGAGCCAATCAGATGCTAGAGGAACTCCTGAAGGAGGAGACTCTGGATTCTGATGGAAAACTAGTTGCTATTTCTGCAAAAGTGGTATGAAACACTGTGGTTAATTAAACAACTATTCACTTAGCTGTCACTAAATTGTTTCATGAGTCATGAATATTTAATTTCTTCTTAGCTACATGTTTTGTCCATGGCTCTGATCTCTGCTTTCCTGTGCTGGATTTGAGCATCATTAATTAAAGCACGGCTCTGGATCATTCTCTCCACAGGTGAGCGCAGTGAGTTTGACAGGAGCTGAGTTTCCTGTGTCTGTGTGGCTTCGGATACCAGAGCAGCGGCAGCAGATCTTAGAGCTCCTGCTGGAGCGAGTGGAGAGAATCACAGCACACGTGACTTTCGCTCAAAATGTGAGACTCATTCCCTTGCAGCTAATTGTGCACTGAAAGGTTAACCTTATGTATAAAGTTAAGCATTTGTAAGCATAATTTGATTAATTTAATTAAGCTTGTATTGATATTATACTATAAAAATCAACAGAATTTAACTGTTGATTTTTAAATGTTTGGCGTCAGTAAGATCAGCATATTAGAATGATTTCTGAAGGATCATGTAGGACACTGATGACTGGAGTAATGACTGCTGAAAAATCAGCTTTTCCATCACAAGAATAAATTACATTTTAAAATAAATTTAAATAGAAAACAGATCTTTTAAATTGTAATAATATTTTCCAATATTTCTATTGTATTTTTGATCAAATAAATGCAGCCTTTTCAAAAACATTTAAAAAATTTTTACTGACCCCAAACTTTTAAACGGTAGTGTACCTTTAAAGAAAATAGTTTGTAAAGCTGTTGCTCAGTTGGCCAGAAAAGTTTTAGCTCCTCCTCCTATTTCCTCAGGGCGGAATCCTTAGTTGTGATGCCACTTTTGCCCATCTTTATGATTACAACACTGCTGAGGAGATGACTGGCCTGTCAATCATGTCTCTGATGCCGTCACTACAGATCCCCTTCCATTGCAGGACTCCCAAGGTCACAATAACGTCTCTAAAAAATTCTTTAAGCAAGCAGTTGGCATTTTTGCAGTTTTGGTTGGTCAAATTACAATTTTTATTTTGTAATTTGTAATTTTTTTTTTCAGCTTTATTTCAATTGATAAATGTATATAATATTCTACTGTACACCTTCACATAGCTTGTTTCTTTACCTTTGTGATTCAGGTGTTGCGTGTTCAGAGATTGCATGTGCAGGCCAGGTCTGGTTTGGTGGTGCCAGCATGTGTCCGTCTGCAGGCTGCTGTGTCCTGTGGAAGATCACCGCTGCAGATTAAAGGATCAGCACATCCAGAACCTTCTGATGGTTCACACACAAGCTCTCGACAGACCAACCAAACTCCTTCAGGTCAGTCCTCACTCTTTCACTGCAGAGCGTGCAGTTTTATAACTGATAGTTGCTTCAACAGACCGAAGTCACACTGACATTGAAAATAAAAATATGCAGGTTTCTGTATCTGTGGGGATTTATTTATAGCCCAGAGCCACTAGTTAAAGTGACTTTCCAACATTTGCTCTGACATAAAGGAAATCTATGTTTTCATTGAGTTTCTTGTTTTTATTTGTCCAATCTAATTAGCTTAGTTGCTGATTAATTAAATTAGATGTAATACATTTTAATTGCTATTGATTTCAGTGTGATCATTGCAGTGCACTCTTGTCCTGCAGGGGGTAAATCAGGTGCGGGTGGTGTCCTGTCCCCCAGCGCAGATGTGCTGTACTCTGGGTCAGTGTGTGTGTTTGCTCCCAGTAGCTGCCTCCTGACACTTCAGCCCAACGGCACCATTCACAGTCTCAACAACCCCTTCAGCTCTCTGCTGCTCGGATACAACAGCAGTCAGCTGCTTGGAAAGGTACAGATGCTATGAAACATTCTGTTGGGATTTGTTACGTTTGTATAACTCTTTACAAATGAAAAATGTAACTCTTTTAATGAAAAGTTTTAGTTGGTCCAATTTGATTTATCTAGTCCAACCAGTGTTATATGAGTATTATTTATGTACTGTTATAATTTTTATGAATATTTTCAATTAGCTTTTTTTAGTGTTCATTTCAATAAACAATTTTTGTTCTTTTGTCATGTGCTTTTGTTTTCTTTAAGTTTAAAATATTTCAATTTTTATATTTGTTGTTTTTCATCTTTCAATTTCAATTAACAACGATAACGATATTAACGATAACATTGAGTCCAGCTCATAAGCAATGTTTCCAAGCTAGTTTACATGCTAACAGCAGGCCTGTGCATCTGTGTAGAATGTCACATATCTAATACCGGCGTTTTATGAGCGGGTTCGTGCTGCGGACCAAAGCGACCACCCTACATCTCATCCACATGATACATCCAGCCCCTCTGACAACTGCACAGGTACAGAGAAGTGACGTGCTTTAAGGATATACACACTTTAGCTTGTGATGCTGCACTAACATCCCCTCACTTCCTGTCTGCCTACTTCTCAGACCCCTGTAGATGTTCGGCTAGTGCTAGCTGTCGCCCTGCTGATGTTCTAACCCTCTCTACTGACATGCTCACAACTAAGGAAGATCAACAGG